CCTAGTCTCTTAAAATTCAGAGTCTTTTCAGTATATATTCCTGAAGTATTAAGTTAATTTCAAGTTATTTTTATTAACTTTAATTATGAATGCAGTTTAGAGATTGGTTACATTTATTGTTGGATGTGAGGTTTTGAAAGCTCAAATAGAGGCTTCTCCAGCCCATCCATATAATCAATCACACCTTGGGCTGCCTGTTCAAGAAGAAGCTGTCAAAGTCACACCAAAGCTGATAAATAACTTTTGTGGAAAATAAATCACAGTCTCATTTGGCACTTGAAAGCTTGTTAGCATCACAATAAAGGTACTTTAAAAATAGGTTTGGTGGTTTTCTTTTGTTTTTCTTTTTTTTTATTTATTTCTAGGAGAGAGAGAGAGAGAGAGAGACAGCGTGAGCAGGGGAGGGTCAGAGAGAGAGGGAGTCACAGACTCTGAAACAGGCTCCAGGCTCTGAGCTGGCAGTCAGCACAGAGCCCGACATGGGGGTTGAACCCATGAACCTCAAGATCATGACCTAAGCGAAAGTTGGACACTTAACCGACTAAGCCACCCAGGCGCCCCATCTTTTGTTTTTTTTTTGGTGGTGTTTTTTTTTTTTTTTTTTAAATGTTTGCTTATTTTTGAGAGAGAGCACACAAGCAAGTGGGGGAGGGTCAAAGAGAGGGAGGGAGGCAGAATCCGGAAGCAGGCTCTGTACTGTCAGCACAGAGCCAGATGCAGGGCAGGAACTCATGAACTGTGAGATCATGACTTGAGGTGAAGTCGGATGCTAAACCCACTGAGCCATCCAGGCACCCCTACTTTTGGTGGTTTTCTAAGTGAAGAAGAAACTAGTCAGTTGGCTAGAGTCATTAAACCACCAACTCTTTGTGCTGGAGAAGATCGTGTTAAGTCTCACGGAGATGTTTATGTGGAATACACATTTTGTTGGGGCGCCTGGGTGGCTCCTCCGTTCAATGTCTAGCTCTTGATTTTGGCTCAGGTCATGATCTCATGGTTTGTGAGTTCGAGTCTGGAGTCAGGCTATGGGAGGTTGCTTGGAATTCTCTCCCCCCACCCTTTGCCCCTCCCCCAGCTTGTGTGCAGGGTGCACACTCTCTCAAAATAAATAAGTGAACTTAAAAAAAAAAAGAACCCTCACAAATTTTGTTTACATTTATCTCTGACAGTGAAGGACGAAAATGTTATCAGTAACTAAGTAAGTTGCTGTTATAAGAGCTTGAGGTTTAATTGTTACCTTGCGATGGAGTGAGAGGCAGAAATGAATTTCTGTTGGTGCTTCCTGAAATGGGACTTTTAATAAACTTATTTTTGAGATTCTAAACCTTTGTTCTTATAATACTCTTTGAAGTACTGATGGATAGGTTTTCTGATTAGATGGACTTATGTTCAGCATATCTAAGCTTTGAGACTATTTGTATTCTTCTGGGGTTTTTTAGTTTTTCTGTGTATAATGGAAATTGCCTATTAGAGAAGGATTTCTTTTTCCTTTTATCTGATTGAGCAGGTGTCTTGAGAAAAAGGAAACGGGTAGCAGTGAATTTAAGTGTTATGCTGTGTCAGTCTCAGAAAATCTTTAGCAGGTGGCCAGAGAGAGAAAACACCAAAATCTGCTTCTGTCCCTTTGCGGTTCATGTCACGAGATCCAAGATCCTCACTTCCCAACAGCTATCTTTTTTTTTGGTTCTCCGGGCAAGAATGCTAAGCATGTTATAAAATCAAGTAGTGTCCTTTGCCACGCTGCCTGGACATTTGGACAGTTGGGTCATTGGCCTTCCTCATGCTGTCATCAATTGTTTTCAGCTGTCACTGGACCAGGATCAAATCAGGCTTTGCCTGTGCCTTTCTTTGTACCAACAATGTTTGTTTGTTCTCCAGGCCAGCCTGGTACTTGCCTGTGCTTCCTACTGAACTCCATGTAAAGAGCAGCTCTTCCAAGAAGAGTCACCCTGTAGCTTTGTGATCTTCAAAGCATCAGTGGAAGTATGCGCTTTCTCTAAGTGAACTGGAAAAGACCTGGGCTGGGCATCAGAATACCTGGGTTCTGGAACCGGTGCTACCTGCCCCCAGATCATACACTGGCAAATTCTTTGACCTTTCCTGATCCTTAGTTTTCCTCAGGTAAATACAAGCTGTCCCTTTGAAAATAATATTGGGATATGCTAAAGTGACTGCCACATTATTGATGCTTTTTACAAGACTTGTCTGAGAAATCTCCAGTGTGATGATCAGTTTGTGTGGTTTCTTGTAATAGCTGAACAGATCCTATGAGCCTAAGGCTACTAATGCAAACTACTTAAATTAAAATGACCAGATTCTCATTATAGCTTTATATATATATGTGTATATATATATACCTATATATATATATATACACATATATATACACACACACGTATAAATATTAGGAGTATATATTGGGAATGCTTTTGACACTTCAGTTTTTAATTTAGAATTAGATCAGTCATTGAAGTTTAAGCTCTCCTTTACCACTTTTTTTTAAAGATCTCTTTTTCTTCTAAGCAGCAGTTCTAGTAGTAATCAAAGTCAGCTCACTATAACTTTTTTTGTTTTAGGTCAATATAACTTAATGCTTATTATAAACTCCAAAAGGGCAGGGATGGAGTTTTACACAGAGGCATGTAGTATGTGAGCCTTTGCTTTGCTCCTTTGCTTACTGGATGTGACCTTGTGCAAGTTAGTGGACTTCTATGTGCCACATAGTTTTCTTATGTAAAGTGGGTAAAGTGAATGCAATTAAGTAAATCCTCTCAGTGTCTGTCCCTGAGTTTTGATATAAATAGTCAATAGGGGTGCCTGGGTGGCTCACTCGGTTAAGCATCCAACTCTTGATTTCGGCTCAGGTCATGATCTCCCAGTTAGTGAGTCTGAGCCCCACTTGGGCTCCGTGCTGACAGTGGGAGCTTGCTGTCTGCCCCTCTCCTGCTTGCTCGCGGCATTCTCTCAAAATAAAAAATTAAACATGAAAAAAAAAAAGACTGCCAGTAAACTACTGTTTAGTAAATAGACCATCACTTTTCTTTTCCTGTTTTATCTGATAATATACTTTATTTACTTTTTATTTCTTTTTGCCTCCATGACTCCTTCTTGTCTTTTGCTTGCTTCATTTGGCTAACACTATCTTATTTATTTGCTATTATGTTTCTGAGGGGTCATACGAGAATATTAATGACAGATTTCTTAGGGCTTTTCTCTAATAGAGCTGCACTTCAAATGATCTGGGATAGTGGGCTAGGTCAACGAGTGGAAGTAACCAACTGGTAGCTCTTTCTGTTTGCCATTCTCTGGCGTTTCTGGGTTAGCTGAGGTGATATGTACTGTACTGAATATTTTTGTGGGAAGAAGGGAATAATATGTGTTCTGTTTGCTGACCATTAATGTTACATTAATGTTAAAATTTCAGTGAGATAGTCAACTTTAAAAAATCTTAGAAGCATAGGTCAGAATATTTACTTTAAATGTTTATTGAACTTTGAAAAAATATATCTGTTCTTTTGACATTCCCCCCTCTTTTGGGTAAGTTCACATACATGTTGTCAAGTCTTAATTTTATTCATTTTAAAAGACAGGACCAGTGGTATGAATAACCATAAGTGTAGGTTTACTTCACAAAAATCTCTGAATTTTTAAATGGAAGTATATAGAAATGTGTGTACATCATAGTTATAGAGCTCAGTGCGTTTTCACAGACTGAAATCCCTGTGTAACTAGCACCCAGATCAAGAAACAAAACATTACCAGTACTCACAAAAACCTCCCAAATACCCACTTCGAGTAAATACCTCCCATAAAGGTGACTGTTGTCTCTGTTTGTATTTTTAATTAAATTTATTTTTAAAACAAATTTACGTTAGTTATGTCTTATTTAGTTAATATTAATTTGCAACCCCCTGATCTCATGTCAGCTAACTATGGCTGAAGCTGGAAGGGAGGACAAAGGTTGACATGGTATATAAGAGTATGTAGGGTAGAAGGGAGGAAAGCATACCTTGATTAAAATTTTGTCATGATTTAAATGATTTAGCTATAGGTAATTAAGGGTTAATTTGAACTCAGTACTAGAGGAAAAAGTTCCTTTCTGTATGTGTATATGTGTGTTTTAATCTGCCTTGTGTGTTTTTGATGAAAAATCACTAGAATGTAAAAAGTAGAGTATTCAGAGGGTAGAGGATCCTCAAGTTGAAAGTGAAAATGAAACCGGACATTGACAAAATACTTTCATGTGAATGTGTACGTGGTAATGTCTTAGTCACTATGTATGAATGAGAATCCTGCTTAGATATACAGATTTTTTTTCCTTCTGTATTTCTAAAGACTTTCTATGAAAAGGGAAGTTGAAATAAAAAATTGGCTGATGGAAATTAAGGCAGACCGGCAAATGGGAATGTCCTCCCCCCCACCGCCCCCGAGGGTAAACTGGGAGATTGAATGGCATGAGTAAATAAGGCTGGGCCAGGATGCAAAGGAGAGATCTAAGGCTGGAAGTTAGGAGTCTGTGATTTTTTTTTTCCTGGTCTGCCCAGTTGTGTGGTTTTAAGCAAGTCACTGAACTTAGGTCCTTTTCTGCTTTTGAAAAATGGGTATGTTACCCGCTTACCCTGGCTTGGGGCATTGTGGTAATGGTTAAATGAGACGACAGAGAGAATTTTGCAAAATCAAAAGCACTGGACAGTTTTACGGAGATAGAAAGGTTTGGTTGTATTAGTCATCACAGGAAAAGGAATGTTGATGAGAGCATTCTTTATCATTTAGCTCCCTTTGCTCTAAATCTGAAATCATTAGATGTATTTGTGATTGAAAATATTTGGTTTCTCAAGTAGATCGACTCATTACCAGACTGACAGAAGTTTGTCACTTGAATTTGATGGCAGATTAATACATTTCTGGTTTACAGATTGGTATTATAAGTATTCGATTCATGTGAATAGATTTACAAGGTTTTGACCAACTCTGGGTGACCTGGTAAAATCCTATTTCAGACCTAATCCGAGAGCCTGCAAGTGACAGCAGCCTGCGAGGTCCTTAGAAAGCTTGGCCTGGAGGAGAACACATGAAAGAAAGGTTTGTTTTGCTGAATATAATTTATGAAAGTGTTTAAAAATAAAAGTATAATTGTAATGCACAAAGGATTGTTTTCTTTTTCCCTTTTCAGAACCCCAAGAGGTTTTGGTTTCTGTGAAAAAGTATTTCTGTACGCTTGCTCCAATGACAGAGTTACCTGCACCCTTGTCCTACTTCCAGAATGCACAGATGTCCGAGGACAGCCACCTGAGCAATACTGTACGTAGCCAGGTACAGTGTCAGCCTCTGAAACTGCCCTTGTCAGACTGTGGATTCAGTGACCACCTTCCCTCATTTCCAAGAGAGGCTGAGGGGGCTGAGCAAGCTTTCTCTACTTTACCAAATTTACCTGTTTGCTGAACTTCAACTGAGGGCAAAGCATTGTACCATTCAGTGCTGAGCACACAAGGCTGTGTGAGATATGAGTGTTAATACAGTTTCTCCCTGCCTCAGATATCACCTCCTCCATTAAAGCCTTCTCCAACTTCCCCAGCTCTTTGTTGTTTTACCTTAACTTACTCTTATTCTTCCATGGGCTGAGTACATTTTATTTACTTTTATTTTTTCAGTACCCAGCATGGTTTCTGACAGTGCCCAGTAAATGCTTACTGAGAAAATGCACAGTGATGAATGCAAGGCTAAGTGTAGAAATCCTGAGAGTTCAAAGGAGGAGCACCTGGGTGGCTCAGTCGGTTAGGCATCCTACTTTGGCTCGGGTCATGATCTCACAGTTCGTGTGTTTGAGCCCTGATTTGGGCTCTGCGTTGACAGCTTGGAGCCTGGAGCTTACTTCGGATTCTGTGCATCCCTCTGTCTATCTCTCTGTCCCTCCCTGCTCATGTAAACATTTTTTTTTAATTTTTTTATTATTTATTTATTTTTTTAATGTTTTATTTATTTCTAGGAGAGAGAAAGAGAGAGACAGCGTGAGCAGGGGAGGGTCAGAGAGAGAGGGGGTCACAGACTGAAACAGGCTCCAGGCTCTGAGCTGGCAGTCAGCACAGAGCCCGACGCAGGGCTCGAACCCACGAACCGTGAGATCATGACCTAAGCTAAAATCGGATGCTTAACCAACTAAGCCACCCAGGCGCCCCTCATGTAAACATTTTTAAAAAGTTCAAAGGAGAGAATCAAGAAAGGGGTGTAACTAGTGTTATGAGACACAGATGTCTAATCTGCCTGCAACTCTATTAGCTAATCATTACAGATTGAATGTAGATCCTGCAGATGGACTGTGAGATAGCTGAGAAATTGGTAGGATTTTTAGAGGTAGAGCCAGAATGGGGGAACATAGAAGGCCAATTATAAGCTCTGCAGGCTGTGAAGGGTCAGGTTGGGTGGGGTGGGATCAGGCTTTCCTCTCTTAGAGCCAGAGAGCAGGACCAGTGGTGGAAGGAAATAGGCTCTGGGTCAATAAAAAAGAATTGTCCCAATTTGTTGTACATCTGAAAGGGTGTGGACTGCCTTGTGGCTTAGTGTGTGCTTGTCACTAAAAGCAGTCACGGAGGCTGGAAAACTACCAACCAAATCTGCAGAGAGTTAGCCTGTGGAATGAGCAGTGAGCTAGAGCACTAACTAGATGGCCTGGAAGTTCCCTTCACACTAAGATTTAGGATTCCAATTAAAGGTCGAAATGTGAGGAGGAAGGCTTCACAAAGTACTCTGATGAATGGGTAGGATTGGAGTAGAGCAAACTGGGATGTCATCACTGATAGAAGAAATAACACTAGCGGAGGCGGAATTTTCCTAAAATACAGACAGGGAGGCTGTACCCAGAGATAATGCCATCAGAGGCAGGTCACACTGTACTGCCAGAACATTTTTAATCAAGTGAAATCAAGTTAAAATAATTATCAGGGGAAGCCCTAAAAGGGAACACAAGCTGTAAGGGGGTCGTATGCAGTCCGAGGGGGGTGTGGGGGACGAGAGAGGAGAGGAGTTTTTACAGTAGTTCTTGGTGGATAATGGGTGTTACAAGGACTGATTTTTGTGGCAACATGTTTGCAACAGCAGCTAGATTTGCTCCTTATTGCTATTTACCCAGAATAAATTTTTGAAAAGTTAGGATGAGGCCAGATTATGAAGTTCCTTGGTAGTTTCAATGCCACAGTCATTTTTAAACTGTTATTTTAGAGAAGGGAGACGGGAAGTGGGGACACTCCTGATTTAGTTTACGGGTACCCCTTCCTTAACTAGAGCAGGTCCTGTTTTATCTTTTTACATATTGATCTTCCGTGGATCCATTTGAACAAAAGATTCCACAACTAACAAATTTTGAAAACAAAAAACCCCCCAAACACCAGGTATATGTCATGTATCTGTTCCAAACCTTCCAAGGGTATATCATCTCAGAAAAAATCTGGTCTGAGGGCTTGACCTGATTCCTCTCCTCTGCCCCCATCTCTATCTTATCTCCTACTAACCTCTCCCTCATTCACTGCTTCCTCATTTCTGTCTCTGGGTCCTGGATTATTCTCCCATTCTTCTCAGATGGCTTCCTTCAGTTGGTTTACTTGCCCATGACCTCATGAGTCACTGTATCAGTGAGGCCTTGCCTCCCTCAGTTCCCCTTCCCTCCTACCCCGTAGACCCTTTCATGCTTGTGCATAGCACTTACCAGCATTTCTAGCATACTGTCTACTAACTTGTTAATGTGTTTACCTGCCTCCCTTTACTGTGTAATCCTGTGTCCTCAGCTGTGGGAATGGTGCTTAGCACAGAGTTAGCTCTCCATTGTTAATGCAATATTACTTATATCCCTCACACTCAGGTTTTGTGGGGCTTTCATGGTATTTTTTTTTTGTCTACCCTTTTTTTTTTTTTTTTACACCTTAGTGACTGATAAATTAAAGGGTGCTATAGAAGAGACAGTTAACATGGGTTTTTTATTGATAATTACATATACTCCTGTAATTTTAGCAAGTCTTACTACTAATGTTCTCAGTGGTACCTTCCAGATCTTTTGGGGCACCACTGCCTAGAAAATCAGGCCTGATTTATTTCATTTTAACCCTGCCATTGATTATGTGATATCAAATAAGTTTATCTTTTATCATCTTTTTTTAAAATTTTTTAATGTTTTATTTGTTTCTGAGAGAGAGAGAGAGACAGCGTGAGCAGGGGAGGATCAGAGAGAGAGGGAGACACAATCTGCAACAGGCTCCAGGCTCTGAGCTGTCAGCACAGAGCCCGACATGGGGCTCAAACCCACCAACCGTGAGATCATGACCTGAGCTGAAGTCAGACGCTTAACTGACTGAGCCACCCAGGTGCCCCTTGTGTATCTTAAAAATGTCTTCTACAGCTTACAAGGATCTTCTGTATATTCTCATACTTTCCAGTTACCATGGGATAGGTATTCCCATTTTACAGTTTAAATGCTTGTCTAAGATCACATAGAAAGTTAAAGGACAAACCTGGTACATAAAACTGTGCTTTCTAGTGTCAGGCTTCCTCCAGTGTTCTTTCTGTTCTTAACAACTATCTCTTACCCCAGGAAAATGTGATAATACTGAAAGGAGATATTGTATGAAAAAAATTCTGGGGAAGGAAACTATGAAGACTGTGTATTCATTTTGCACCAGTGTACTTAAAAAAAAAAAAAAAAACCAAAAAGGAAAAGAATCGCATTGTTAAGTTTTTTGGGCTATAAAGAAGCCATTGTGTACATGCTTTGGTTGGTCATGAAAAAAGGGGCTAAGTCCAAATTTAAATTGAATGTAGATGACTGTTTTTGTGGATTAATTGAAAGCAGCTCTTTTATTTCCCCTCTTGGATAGTGGATTTAAATACAACCACATGAAGACAAGCCTCTGCAGGCATAAAAAATCCTTATCAGGCTTATTTCTTCTTGATTTGCTCATTGGCTAGTGTAGAAGAATCACAAGGAAATTGAAAGATGTGGAAAGTTTCAGTCTTTCCATGCTGTTAGGAAAGGAAACTAACATATTGAATGTCTTCAGTGAGTTAGACGTTGTGCTAGATACTGTCACAAACATTATTTAGTTTTAGGCCCTTATATTTTGGAGACATTCACCATAAGGGAGGAGATTTTCCTTCAGTCTTCTCCTCTTAATTAAAATGCTATTAAAGTGTTCTATTAAGGTGCTTAATATACAAGAATATATCCCCTAGAGTATGCAAATAGGCTATTTTACATTTACATTAAATATTGCAAAAATAAATGAACATTCATTTACACATATTTTTGAAACTAGAAGGAAACTAACTTTCCTACAGAATGTATTCAGATATCAGTGTAAAGAAGTAGACTTCTGTTCCTTTACTGTGTATTTTCCTCTAAGGTCAGGAGATCCCTAATCTTGAACTCATATTATGGGGTAATCCTTTGGGTTCAGGGGACATATGAGGATTCAGGAACACTGATAAATTGGCCACTAGGCGTTGTGGCTGGGTGACATATAAATAGGTCCTTTAAAGAAAAGAACTAACTTTGATCCAGGTGTAATTTGAAACAGCTGTGTGTAAGTTGACTTAATTCACTTAATTTCTTAGTACCTCATTTTTCCCATCGGTATTATTAAGATATTATTTTTAGATAAATTCTCTCTCAGAAGTTTTGGTATGACCAGGAGTTAAGGTGGCCAACCATCATGGTGTGCCCAAGACTGAGAGGTCCCTGGAACACAAGGCTTTCAGTTTTGAAACTGGGACAGTTCTGAGAAAATAGGATCAAGGTGATTACCTTATCAGAAGTATAATGAAATTAAAATCATTTTGGATCTGATTAACCCAGTCTTACTCACTTAGATTACTTTGTTGTATAACTTCAAGTATAATTGCAGTGGTATATTGTTAGTGTTCAAGTACTGCCTTAGCCCAGAAAAGAGGTTTTCCTTTTGTTGGCTATGGGTAATCTTATTCACAGTGAAGGGAGTTTAAGTTTGATTAGATTAGTCCGAGGTGGAAAATTGTGATCTTTTCTTAACCCAAATATTTTTTTCTGTAATTTTTAATATGAAATATTTTAGGCATATACAGGAAGTATGACAAATAACATAATAAGCACCCATTTACCTACCACCCAACTTTATAAAACTTAATACCTTGTCATGTTTGCTTTGTGTACTTAATTTTTGAAGAGTATTTTCAGAGGTTTTTCTGTTCTGTTATATATTGATACTACATGAAACGAAATCCTAACCAAACAAAACAAAGTTTTGCAATTAATTTGGACAGATGTCTAATTATATAACAGAAAGAAATTACAG